AGGACACGGTGCGGAGCCGGAGGACACAAGGCGGATGAAGTTGGTTATCGTTTGGGGGCAACAGGCAGGCTCCGCGTCGACGACATATAGATAGCAGGCGGCGACGGTGGACCCCAGCCGTTGATGACGTTTGGGGTGGCGAAGCAATGCAGCATGTTTCATCGCGTTCCAGGCGGGGCCCTTATCGTTGTTTATTCGCTTCAGCGCATGCGTGCGCCTGCCCCGACCAGCCGCTCGCGCTCGCGCCTTCCGTGCCAGCACCGCTCACACAGACACAGCACGCCATGCTGATGCGACTCAAGAGACGTGGAATGAAGCACAGAAGAACGTTGGGCCTGCATTTCCTCGCAGCCTTGGGACCTGGCACGGCGCTCGGCCCTCCGAACTTGATCTGCGCGCGACAGTCTGACCAGCGCCATCTGCATCGGGCCTGGCGCGCCTGCAGGCTTCGTGCCGGCCGCGCTCTCATTCGCCCGCCGCGTTAGCCTGCCTCCAGGATTCCGCCGCTTTCTCTCGTCACATCCATTGCCCAAACCACCAGGCCGTGACATGTTTTTGCATTTTCATCATCCTCTTGATGCTGCCCCAGAGGCCATCTCGCATGTCCCAGCCACGGGATATCCGTCTAGGCGGCGCCTCTGCTCGGGCGTCGACATGGCCCCTCGCGCCACGAATTTGATCTCGCACTTGCTGTAACCCCTCGTTCACTAATTACATCTAGCGTTCACTCCTGGCCATGTCCTTGGTGGTGCACGGGCCTCGCAAGCTAAGCCCTTCTCGCTCGCGAGAGTTGGGGCCATTCATTCTCAGGACATTCGCACGCTCGATTCTCCACTGCCGTTCTGACTCCCCAACCGCCTGATGCCGTCGTTGCCCTGCCGTCGCCATCTGGAGTACTAACCGCACAGTCGCACCGACTGTCGACGCCCTCGCCTCTCGTTGTGCGCGCGCCGCTTCCTTTGTGACAGCACGCCTCAGCCAACTCCTCCCTCCGAAGCCGCCTCGAGCCCTCCACCCTCACCACCCTGCCTCACCTGCCGGCGCATCGCTCCAACTCGAACACACTCAGTCTCAACACCCTCTCTTCATGATAGGCTTTCGATTTCACGCCCATAGTGACGTTCCTGAGCCCCCATCGCCCTCCTGCTCCCTATCCGCACACGCTGCGCTCCGACACGCAACCCTCTTCCCCTTAGCCACACCCTCTGTGTAGCTCGACCACTCGTCACAAAGCCCGGCACTCCGTTGACGGCGGTCACTTGATCCGTCTCGAGTCGCCGTCGGTCGCCCTGCTCTCTCTCGTCGCGCGTTGGGCGTCATGCGATCCCACGAACACAGAGCCTGAGCACCCACTACATGACACCACATACAAGCGAGCGTCATTGCCAGATTATGACAGACGTCTCGTCGGTTCAGGCGTATGCTGATCATCAGCCGGCTCCTCTCGCCCTCTACGCTGGCCCACCACCACCCACCTTCGCGACCGCCTCGCCTCCACTCGAACCCACCGTTGAGGACGAAGAGTCATCCACGATAAAATGCATCTGCGGATATTCAGATGACGACGGCAACACAGTCTTGTGCGAGAAGTGCGATACGTGGCAGCACATCGTGTGTTACTACGAGTCTGCCCAACACGTCCCCGACGTACACGAGTGCGCCGACTGCCTTCCCAGAGCTATCGACGCAAAAAGCGCTTCCGAGAAGCAACGCATCCGAAGGGAAGTACACAGCATCGGCGAGCGCAAGGGCAGACCGAAAGCCTCCGCCAAGAACCCCAAGAAGCGAACCAAGGACGCCCATGGCCCTGGACAACCCAATGGGTGGCCAGTGCAAACCAATGGGGACCTGCACTATACCCCCGACCGCAAAAGTGGTAGCCCACGAGATCAGCCACCGCCAAATAAGCGTCCAAAGACAAACCATCGTCCATCGGGTTCTGTAGGCGTCGTTAGTCAAGCGCCAGCTCTCGTGCCAACATCACGGAAACGAGGCGCTTCAGTTATGCTCAATGGCCACAGTCCTATGAAGTCACCCACCAACCCAGAGGCTTCTACCGAGGATTACTCAACCGAGTTCATACATCTCTATCGGCAACCAGAACCACCCTCCGCTGAGTCCAACTCTTACACCCGAATCGATGTCGCAAACGACATTGCTATGTGGCTACAAGACCCCGAAGCACTGGCCGAAGCAAGCGGAGGCAAGAAGCCACAGGACATCTTCTCACGCATTGACATGACCATCCAGGAACTCGAAACAACAACTGCGCCAGAGATTGTGAAACAGACAGATGTCGACTCGGGTGTACTAGCGCATGGTCTGCACCCACAATGGCACTTCATTACCGCCGAAACTCCGGTACCAGATGGTGGCTATGTTGGAGAGCTCAAAGGTCTCATCGGTCGAAAGGCAGATTACTACTCCGATGCATCCAACAGATGGGACTTGCTGCGACACCCTGAACCCTTCGTCTTCTTCCCACCCCATCTGCCAATATACATCGACACACGGCGAGAAGGCAACATCCTCCGATACGCCCGGAGAAGTTGCAACCCCAACATGTCTATGAAGATCTTGATTGACTCCAGCAACGACTACCACTTCTCCTTCCTAGCGACGCGCGAGATCAGCCCCGGCGAGGAACTTACAGTCGGCTGGGATATCGATTCTGAGGTAAAGAAACAGCTTCTCAGGGTCGTAACCAACGGTGCCAAAGAAGGGTTTAGGAGGATACAACCGTGGGTGTCTTGTGTCTTGGCAAACTTTGGAGGCTGCGCTTGCGATACATCCAGCGGCAACGAGTGCCTCTTGGAGCGCGCTCGTCGCAATACGATTACAGAGCCGGCTACACTGAAGACCAAGGGCAAGAAGGTCAAAAAGTCACAAATCTCTCCAATGAGTACAGGCCACGCAACCAACAGCCGTGCTGGTAGCGAAACAGTCAACCGCGAGGCTGTCGACGAAGACCAAATGGACGCTCGCTCTACGTCTGGCTCACACAAATCCAGCAGTCGTGACATCACACCAGCAACCCACTTCTCATTGGAAGGCGACAAACTTTCCGAGCGCGAAAAGAGAAAAATCCAGCACCAAGAACTCCTGTTCCAGAAGCTTGATCATGATGAGCACAAAGGCAAAAGGAAACGGACTAGTGCTGGATCGAACCTGAACACGCCGAGCATCTCTTCCTCGGTAAGACACTTATCCACCTACTCGCTTCCTCCTGCTAATGCAGATATACAGAGACGACTCGGACACCCCGAACCTTCGCCGTCGGCACGGCACCGCGAACACAGTCACGGTGTAGCACGTAAAACGTCGGGCAGCTCTACAAAGACGAATGGCCGTCCTCCACCCCGTCCGAAGCCTGTCTATGTCGATGCGTCGACGCAAACGATCGAAGACAACAACGCAAAATCCCAGATCTGCATCAAGCCACGCCAAATGAAACCACCACTTTCATTCAAGCGTAAGCTTTTGCAGCAAGCGCAAGAAGACAAGTTGCAGCGCGAGCGAATGCGGTCGACGTCCGTTAAAGTGGAGGCCAAATCACCAGCTTTGAAGGACGTATCGTCGAACAAGCCGTCGCCGCTGCCCCCATCTCCACCGCTCGAGGAGCCCACAGCGATGGACATTTCTACCGACCCCGTACCCGATACAAGACACAAAGAGCTCACACCAGCAAAGGAGCCTACACCGCAGCCTACGGTCGACGTGGAGATGACCGAACCCGAGGACACAAGTCCCAAGGCCTCCGACCCAAAACAAGAGGAAGCACCTGAGGTGACTGCACCAGAGCCTCCCAAGGAAGCTCCACAACCATCGATACAACCACCCGATCCTCCGTGGTCAGCTTCGACGCCCGCTGAACCATCGCCCAAGTCCACCACCGGTCTCACACCAAAGACTGCAGACCTACACGTCGAAATGCCCTCGAAGCTTGATTTTGGCAACACTAGCAGCAACCGCGCCGTTACACCTGGATCGACTTCGTCTGTTCTCAACGAGAGCGCAGTCGCGCAATCACCAGGCATCTCAATGATTGCATCGCCTTTCTCGCCTGCCGTTAACAACGCCGTCAAGCCTGCGCCGGCACGCAAGAAGCTCAGTCTAAGCGACTACACCAACCGCAACCGAAAAACCAAGCTGGCGCAAACGCAGTCGACTGGCTCGAACGCTACACCTCCACTGGCCCAATCGCAATCAACCAGCTCACCCACTTTATCGACGGCTAGCCTGCCAAATACTAACTCACCACCACCCAAGGCTGTCGAACCGATCCTCCCACCAGTTGCCGAGGAGGCTAAGCCGTCTGAGGTATCCGTCGCGCCTACTATGACGACTACCTCCACTTCGACATGAGCGCTATGATTCACGATACCTTTGCTCCTTTTCAGAACCAACTTGCGGGCCGCCGGGCGACCCGTGGTTCTTCGATTCTACCTTTTGGAGTGTAACAACATGTAATGATTACAAGTCAAACGATCCTTTGTTTTCTCACTTTTCCCTATCTATCTTTCTTCTTTCTTATCTTTTACTTCCAACGACTTGAAGTGTTCGGTCGGGTTTACTATACATTGATTTGATGGGGATTTTCAAAAAAGCGGGATACTTCCAATGGGCTTTCTACTACATGCAAACACACATTACCTATCTACGTACGGAAGGATCTGGCGTGGCATTGGTTGGCTCTCGCGCTGGGCATCTAAGAAACGAGGAAAATGAGAGTTGAGAAGACGGGCAGCCCCGTCCTCCTCTACCCTGCGGGTTGGAGATTAGTAGCGAAGCCATGTCCTCTACTGCTGAGCGTCTGTGTTTAGCTGAGATGAAATGAAAACAAGAACTCAAATCAATATACTCTGAGGTTCGCCCTCGTATCAAGCGCCACTGTGTAAAAGAAGAGGCTGTGTTCATAGTCTAACCAACACCAGGCAAAGAAGAAGAAGAAAATGGCAGAAGTACAACCGGCAGCATAAGAACACAACCACTCATGCCCTCTAAGTCCCTCCACTGCCAACAGCCTTCTCCCCAACCTCCTCCCACTTCGCCGCCACCATTCTCACCGGCGTGACATTCCCCGCCAAAGCCCTTCCGTCCATCTCTATAGGGCTTGTCCCCATGCCATTAATATGCTTGGGATCGGGCCTGTACACCGTTTCGTAGTAACTTGGTATCGTCTCGTCAAGGACGCGGAGCGGCGGTGGTGGTGATGCGTAGCGATGAACGGAAGGAGCCGGAGATATAACGTCAGTGTCACCGGCAACGTTCGAGTCGAGGTTGTAGTCGTGATGATCTTGGGGACGGTCGTTTTGATGGCTGCGCATGCAATCTCCTAAGGGTGAGAGTTCGTATGGTCTGCCTACGGAGCGGTGGGCGAGTGCATCGTGGATGTTGAGTGGGGATTGCTGAGGGATGGGAGGTAGGGTATGCGCACGGTGGTCGATCAGTGCGTTAATGTCGTATTTGTACTGATGGGGGTGGTACTGCTGTGTTGGCAGCGGTGGCGGCGAATGCGAAGGAGGGGGCTGTGGCATGTAGTAAGATGGTGCTGCCGACTTGTAGGGTTGGTTGTAGTTATACTGTGAATAGGTGGGATCTGCCATGGGCGACGATAGCATAGACCTTTGCGGGTATTGATGGTAATAGTCACCTCCGTTGCCGGCCATGGCGGTAGAACGATTGGGACCTCTTTCCACCATGGCTGCTGGTCCCTTGTGATTTGGATCCAGACGAGGAGCTCCAGCTACTTCTGCTTTTCCGTCGACTTCATCCTTCAGGCTCTTTGTGCGGCACCAGAAGAAGTACAGTAGGGCTACGATGACGAAAACGGAGACGCCTGCGATGGAGATGCCTGCGATAGCGCCCACTGAAAGATCAATTTGGGTGTCGTTGTTCGTGAGGCCAGCACCGGGTGTCTTGTGAGTACTCTCCGGTGGAAAGGGCTCGCCAGGGTTGAGCATGTAACTGCTGTCAAGCGCCATTTTGTGTCTAAATGACGGTGTACTAAGTTAGTGTATGTCTCACATGCAGTGCGTACCGATAGACTTACTGTTGATCGATGCTCGTCGTGGTATTCGGATTGATAACGCCCACCATGCCATAGCCTATGCAAGACCCTGGTGCTGAGCAGTAGAAAAAAATGGGATCAGTGTTTTTGATCTCGATGCTGTAGGTGGGTGGGAAATCAAGGACAGTGTCGACGGGCTCGAAACCGCTGAAGAAACCAGTTTTACCCTGCCCCGTCATTTCGTATGGGATGCATGGGTAGCCGTATTCTGCGCGGACGACACTGTGGTTTAGTGGATAGAAGGCAAACTCTATTATCTTTAGCAAGTTAGTATTTCCTCATCTGTTGATATGTGTACGGAGGCCCGATCGAGATGATGAATGAAACTTCTACTTACATCGCCTACACTGGCATTTGTCGACTCGGGTCTGAATTTGTGATCCGCTAGACCGACTGAAATAGTGTGTGTCTGCGCAGCTGCAGAACTCGTCGAGGTTGACGCGCTTGCTGTGCTCAACGAGGCTGTAGGACTGTCACTGCTGAGGCCATCGTTGCCTTGCGCTAGACATATCGAAGGAAGCAGACTGAACAGCAAAGACAAGATGGAGAATACAGAAACTCGGGACAACATCATCAGTGCTGCGATCGTCAAGATAGCAGTATGGAATCTGAGAAGGCTTGCGATCGTGCAGAGAGGACGACGGAAGCTTCAAGAGAAAAGAGGACCGTGGGACTGACGAAGACACCAGAGTGGAAATCAATATTCAAAGACGCAATACGCCAGCCTATCATGGCAGGGGCGCTACAAACAAGGGATCGTAAACAGACCAAGCGGCCAAATTGACGAAAAGAACGGCACAGGATGAGACATGTACGCCATAATCATGGTGGTACGTTTCTGTGGCTGTGGCGTAGACATGAGATTGCTATTCGCTGAAAGGCGGCTAGAAGTCGGCCTCAAGGGATGCTACGACAAAGAGTTGTGTCTTTTGCAAGGGTTCGGTGACCTCATGTGATGATCGCAAGGGCGACAAAGGTCAACAAAGCTCATCTGTCTTGTATCTCCACTAGCTATGCATCTGGGAATGTGGCCACCGTACAATCTGCTTGTGAAACGGACCAGACATCTGCTTTTGCATGTGCCCACTCGGACGCGTAATTTGAAGTTTGGCAATGGCTAAGGATGCGACTGCCCCGCCGCGTCGCAAGACCAAGGACTACGTGCATGTAAGCAGAACAACATCACTCATAGTCAATGGCACAACTCGAGGCGTTCAATCCCGCATCAGTAAAGGATGACGGAACGCGTTCCTTACTCGCACGACATGTAGGAGAAAAAGACCCAGAACGGAAAAGCACCTGAAGGTATTGAGTTTTTTAACTGCTATTCACAGCTGAGATATAAGGAGAGGAGAGGTCCAAAAAATCGTACCATATGGTGATAACATAGCCCAATATGGCTTGGTATATTTCGCGCTGTTCGCTCGCATTAAATCATAAGCTGTCTACAGCGTCCATCATCAAAGTCGTATGCTGTGGCAGCCTGGGGTCATCGAGAAGGTTGCGCTCGTCAGTGTCGCTAACGACACCGCGTCGCACGCGACCTACTCTGTGTTATGTTGGCCAGATGCAAAAGTGCAAAGCTGAGCTCTCAGCGGAGACCCGGGTCGCCAAAACCAAATGGATCGTTGCTGGAGGAGCTATTGGACCCCGAAACATAGCCCGACGGTGCCGCAGATGCTTGTTTGCCAAACCCAGGGTCTGGCAAAGGATTCCAGACCGGAAAACCCTCAGGTGGCTGACTCTCTCCTAGTGGTTTACCACGAGCATAGTCCACGAGACTGCCGTTGATGCCAGTAAGTGCCCAAGCAAAGACGGCGACATCGCGAATGCTCTGCATGAAGTTGTTCTGGAATTCCATAGACGGCCCTGCCTGCACCATAGCCGGGTGCCGAGCGCCAAGAGGGTATTGGGGCATTTGCTGTGGAGCAGGATGGAACACGGGTTGTGTTGCCCATGGCGCGGCGTAGATACCATTGTATTGCTGTGCTGGCTGGGCCACCGGCATGGTGCCTGGCAACATTGGGCGGGCACGACGTAGACACACAACCAAGCCATCTGAGGTGCAGGATATGACAGCCTCGAGTTCGATGGGATCGTCGCGGATTTCGGAGCGAGGCGAACTCACGGACGATAACGACGAGCGGGCAGCGGATCCACCGAACATGGCTTGATGGGTATTGTTGGGGTCATTGTTCCCGCCAGAGTTGGTGCGCGACGCAGACCGCTCCTCACTGTTATCCGTGGTGCGGTTTGAGTCTGACGGATGTCTTGTGCCGTTGGACGTGGAATGGCCGTCAAGGTCCACTCCGCCTTCAGATTCATCGTCGGAGCCCGTAACATCCGTCATGATGTCATCTTCGCTCTCAGACGAGGAAGCTTCAGGCGCATCGTCCTGGCGCGGGTCCCGGAAGAAAAAGCGCATGTATGCAATGGAATCGTTGCCTTTGGCCGACTCGAGACAGCGGACTGCATCTTCAAGACAATTGGGAGCAATGCAGTAATAGAAGCTGCGTCCCTTCATAGCCTCTCCGGAGATGCCAATGATTTGCTCGATCCCACTGGTTGCGTACATGACGGTCAGGGTACGCGTGAACCTGTTAAGGAACAAGGCAGCTCGCGGCTCATGAGTCTGATCATCGGGGCCGAGGTCAAACTTGCTGGACAGGTGAGATAACATGTGGTAGCGCGGGTCCTTTGGTGACGAGGCGAATAGCTTGCGCACTATAGGAGCCTCGACTGCGCGTTCTGATTGGCTGGAATCAGCATGACGCAGGGCCCAAACGGGTTGAAAGACTTACTTTGGCTCTGCATGCCATGTCTGTAGATGCTGGTGCAGCAAACGAGGACATCGTAGACGACGGAGAAGCAGCATTCACAACCGACCCATTCGCCCTGGCGGTTCTTCAGGCGGCAATAGGACAAGACAGCAGCCTTGTCCAGTCTCACGCCGCGGCTGTGGTGAGCTCTTGCCAGCGGGAGTTCCTCTGGATGGAAAAATTGCCACACGGACCGATTGACTACCTCGTCAGGTGTATGACCGAGGATGTCGACAATGGAGTCGGAAGAGTACAATATGTGGGCGTCATCGGAGAGGTCTGTCTTGGGTGAGAATTGGCAGGCAAAAGGCAGGGTCGACGTGACAAACCGTGAATGGTGATGAAGGTGGTATCCATGGTAGCAAGAACGGGGGTAGTGGTCGTTCCTGCTCTACCGCACGCGCCCTGGTCTGTCGAATCTAATAACTCGGTCTGGGACGGGCGGTGGAAATAAGAGCAAGTCGGGCAGTAGAGGCGAGGGACTGTCGGCGGGTCAAATAGGCAGGGTCCAGGTGGCACAGAGGCGCACAGGTGCGGGTAAGGTGTCTAGAGGCCGTTCAGGCGGTGCGACCAGAGCACGGGGTGGGGATGGGATGGGATGGGATGCAGATGGCAGGTCGAAACGTATACGAGTCAGGAGCTATGATGTAATGGGCGATCACGAAGCAGCAGGCGCCCCTCACCCGCGACAGGGCAGGCGCGGGCAGCAGCGAGGAAATATATGAGAAAGCTCGCGGACTTGGGCTGCCGGAAGGGGCTAGCAGCGAGCAGTTGGGTCGGGTGCATAAATAAATCAGCGGAGAAGGAGCGGAAGCGTGACGACGGCCAGAATGGCGGGACCGGAGGGGCGCCAACGGGCTCAGCAGCGTCTGTGTCGGCAGGCGGGCCAAAGAGAGCGCAGCGAGTAAGTAAGAGGACGGTTGCGACAGGTGGATGTAGTGGAGGATGCGACAGGCGGCGTGGCATGCAAGAGAGGTGCAGAAAGTGAGCTGACGAACTGCTCACCCTTGCCGCGCCCAAGGATCGACGCGAGACGTGTGCGCAACGGCGGTTAGCAGCTCGTCGGCAGCGGCGCGGGGCACCGGCAGTCGCCCTGCACCTCTGGTCGAAGGAGTGCGCATCAGGCCACTCGGGTCAGGACTGCCTCGAGTCGTGCCTCCAACTGTCCGCGCGTTGCACACGCCGGGTGTGCTGAAGAGCCCAACTGTCAATCCATGCGACTGGCCTTGGCGCACCCGACGTCGATGATGCATATCCATATCCATTCCATGGCCGCCCAGGTGCCTGCATGCAAACTTTAGCCTAGCGCCACCAGCACAACCACGGCCAGCCTGCGAACTGCGAGCGGATGCCCCTCCGCCAGCGCTCTGGCAAACCTACCCAGGCGATTGCCGCTGCCCACAGCATCGCCCGGCCTGCGCGTCTCCTGCCTTGGTCGTCCCTGCCTTGGTCGTCCCTGCCTTGGTCGTCCCTGCCTTGGTCGTCCCTGCCTTGGTCGCCCGGCACTGGGTCTAGCGGCGCGTGGTACGGACCTGTTACTTGTCATCCCAAGCCCTCAACCGAACAACATCATCGACGATCCTCCCCAAACTACGCCACAAGCCACATGCAAGACCCTCAAGGCCTCTTTCCACTGCTTCACCGTCTCTGCCTGCGGGCCCCTGCCTGATTGGCGGCACCACCTCCGTCCGCCTGCTGCTCGCCGCATGTCTCTCCTTCACCTGTTTGCTGCAAGTGATAGCTTAATTTCCATGACACTAAAAGCCCTGTCCCTCGCCCTCGCTTCTTTCTAACCCCCGATTGGCACACACAACCTTGCACTTACCTTGCACTTGGGCTACCTCACGAGACCCGCGCCCTGCATATCAGCCATTACGGCTGTGCTTTCCGAGCTTTCCCATGGTATGCACGCCAAGATGGACTGCAACTTTGAACTGCCTTCGCTGAGGGCCACTTTGAGACTAGGCGTAACCCATGCCTCTCGTCCTGCGCGTAGCCACCACTAACTCCTCGACAGGCCCCAACCAAGTCTAGGCTGAGCTCTAGTGAGTCAGGAAGCATGCGCGTCAGCCGTCACTCCATGCAATACTCATCACGTTGCAGCTCAGTTCTACGATGTAGACTTCTATCCCTATACCGCTCCCGGCCAGGTCCCTGTTTTCGCCGTGTGCGGAGGTCCATTTGTATGTATCACGCTGTGTGCAGTCTGCCGTCTACTGATTGGCCAAGACCGTCATATGTCGGTGTAAACTTGACAGCAACGGGTCCGTCGAGATCCTGCGGTGGTTTGAAGATGACGAGGCCACTACTGAACACGGCACGTCCGACGATAAAGTAGACACGGACCCTCTGTGCGCGACCTGTCTAACCATCACCAGGTCAACTACAACAGCATCGTATGGTCTCAGGCTGAAAATGGCGACCCGCTCGTCTGCGTCACGGGAGACTCTCGCATCAAGGTCTTGAATGTCCGGACCGGGGAGCTCACAGCAGTACGGGCCATATCACTGATTGTATTGCATCCACTGACCTTGCACCCAGACGCTGATAGGCCATGGCGATGTATGGTTATCATCTGTCGTATGCGGCGAGCTGCCTTCCTAACATCCTACAGTCAGTGAACGATCTCGCCATATCGCCGATAGACCCAACCATTCTCGCCTCCGTGAGCATTGACCATAGTCTCCGAATATGGAGCCTCCACCCCGATCACGAAAAGCAGCCCCTCGGAGCCATTTGTTACGGGCAAGGCCATAAGGACCAGGTGCTTACCATTGTGTGTGACCTGCAAATATACCCAATTAATATACTGATATTGCCAGGCATACCACCCGAAAGGCCAGTACATCCTAACAGCGGGTATGGATACCAGGATCAATTTGGTAGGATGCACCACCCCGGCCTACTGCTTGACAAAGCTCTGACAAGTCTAGTGGGCAGTACCCGAAGACCTCAAGGAACACGCTGGCACCGACAAGCCGGCCATAGTGCACTATCCGCACTTTTCCACTACCGAGATACACACTGACTTCATCGACTGGTAATGATCCCCTTCTGAAACCGACCTACAATTGCTTACTTCATGCAGTGTCCAATGGTATGGTGACTTGATCCTCAGTCATGCCTGTCGCGAGAACAAGATCATACTTTGGGGTATCGATCGATTCAATTCCAATCGGTCTACGCCTCCTCCGCCAGTCCCCACATCAAGCGCGGTCCACAGTAGAACCCCTGTGACAATTCCAGCGAACTCGACCTCAAATACACGGTCGGCATGGGGCGGGCGCTTCCAGAGACTTCTGCAATTCGACTTGCCGCACACGAACCAGTTCTACATTCGCTTCTCCATCTTTCACGAGCTTGGTCGCCATCCGGTTTTGGTTGCGGGCAACGAGAGAAGCAAGACCTTCTTTTGGGACTTACAACGCCTAGAGAAATCGGGTACCGGAGAAGATGACTCCCTGACTTCGAAAGGCTTACCGCTCAGTCTACCTAGACACGTGCGCGAAGGAAGCTCGGCATCTACTGCCTCATCTGCTATCAGTACAGGCTCGGGTAATACCAAGACCAAACAGAAGCGGCTGAATGAGCATTCTCACGATCGAGGCATATCCGACCCCTTTCGCTCGATCAAAGCACACAAGATCGTCGAGACTCCAAAGTACAAAGCCTTCGCGTTCCGTCACTTCTCCTGGAGTCGTGATGGTCAATGGTGCGTCGGCGCCGGTGACTGTGGGACTATCAATATATTCAGCCGTTGGGATTCCCTTCCTCCAATCGATACAGACAGGGAATTACCTACACAGGAGGGTGACGGCCCACAGATCAGTCAGTCCAACCGCACACCAACATCAGCCGCGCGCACGAACGATGTCGGACTCAGCACGAGCATTAACTGACATAGTACGAGTAGACAAAGACATGATCACGGACTCGCTGGACGGCCTATGTGAGGCACATGCACTCCGGCAGCAGATGGCCGCGGATCAAGGGGAACCTTTCGACGAAGACCTGCGACCTCTTCTGGATGAATATGTGTCCAGCTTGCCAAGTCACGAGAGAGATTTCGCACGTTCAATGTACGAGCGGTGATTCAGACTGGGAAGTAAACAGCTGAACACGTGTGGATAGCTGGGTGCGCGGCCCCATAACACAACCACAAATATTCGAACGCGACCGTTAACCTTACTCGTCGGCACGGTCTCAGCTATTGTGACTCACGATAATGGCATAATACACAGTGAATACAATCAATCTATTGTCATTGAGTTACAATAGCTAATCCAAATTACCGAATTTGCGTTTCGGAGGTGACAATAGGAAAGATGTGGAGACGAGATGCTGGTGGGAGTAAGATCATATTAGGGTCGCAGGCAGCCAACCACGTACTAGTGGTTCGTCACCCCAACAATACCAAACAAAAGTTGCCCGTCCTGAAAGCTGTCCCATTTCTCAAATATTCTTTCATCTCTAACACCATTTCCCAAACATTGCGTCGTCTGCCAACTCCATCACAACGTACCGAAACCTTTCGTACAGTACCGACACCCCTCCCAGCGCTATCACAGAAAAGCAATACCATTACTCGCAGTTTTCGGCAAGTCACTACGCCCAGGCAGACTTAAACTAATCATGCACGCTTGCAACACGCAAAACTCACCCGATTCCGCATCTTCCACCATGTCGACTCCCACCACCGCGTCTCCAGACCACGTCGCGGCCACTCCCTCAACAGTCGCAGAGCCCGTACCGCGCGAGAACTCCGTTCTCTGTGGGCACACAGGCTGCACGCGTAGCTTTCCAAGGGATTCAAACATAGCTGCAGGCCACAACGGCGATTACCTCTGCGCTCTACACTGGCTCGATTTATTCGATGCATGCCATGAGTTCTACAATGACTGGTGGAACTATGGTAATGTCCAACGGGGAGCCTCGCCAAATTACACGCCTGAAGGATGATTGCGGGATTGAGGTGGAGAGGAAGAGAGCAGGAGACCAGCGACGCGGTTCTAGGGGCCCGCACAAAATCTCATCAGCAACAGTCACACCCTCTACGCTCATTGTTAGTCTACTGTTGCCACGAGTACTTGCCATGGTCATGGAGAACTCGAAAATCTAGACAAAAAGAAAACCTCCAATTCCCACACTGTCGCGAGTGCGCAGCGCCTCCTCGTCGAGCACATCGGTGAGTGCAGAAACCCCCCACGCAAGCCAGCCCCAAAAAGGGTCTGCAATGTGCGCAGCGCTTGCCGCAAACGCGACCAAAGATACGGCACAGCTGCAGCCCGCGCCAAAATCGATCCCGGTAGCTCTGCCGGAGAAAGAAACAAAAACACAGGAACGCGTTGGCCTTGCGCAGGGACAGCAAGGCTTGCCGGGCATGTATTGTTTGGTACTACTTGCTTTTTTTCGCAACACGTGGGCGCTACCGAAATGTTTTATCTGCACTACACCATACTGCGCTTGCTGCACGGCAACCATGCATCGTCTTTTTGTTTTCGAAGGACGTACAGTACTCGTATCGAGGGAAGCTGCAGGACAGCCATAGATGACCAGGCGAGCGAACAAAGCGACAAGTAGCCCGAAAACACGGAGTACAGTCTGTTTGCTCGCCCATACCACGAGCAGGGGCTTTGTCTGCGTCGAGACTTCAAGCGACGAACAAAGGAGGCAAGACAGTAGGAGAGAGAGGGAGATGGTGTCTTTGAAACACGTTTGTCTCTTAGGAACTCTACGATAAGGACGTTGCCATATACAAAAACGAAAAAAAATACATTGTACTGAGTCGGAAGATGATCAGTCCGAAGTAGCAGACATGTCTTCTCCATCATCTGTATCGTCATCATCAGCAGCAGCAGCAGAACTGAATATCGCGTGTTCATGCGAGGAATGTACAAGTTTCCTTCGTCCAATCTTCCCTTCGGACTCACACTACCCGCGAGACTTCTCACAATTCATCTTTCCACCCGCTTCTACCTCCCAGGAGCCGCCGTCGATATGGATCGACAAGCTATCGTTAGCAGCATACGACATGCTGATAACCGCCCCAACACCAGCATCGCAAAACTCCGATAATACCAGTCACCGCAAGCGACGCAGCCTCGCTATTTCCACACAAGATCCCGACACCGACATACGCAGTGCTTTTCCAAAGACACCGGGGACCTTGCGCTGCTCGAATGTCCATTGCAGCACCCGTCTTCCAATTAGCTCAATGTTGGCTGCTACAGCACGGTTTCCTGCAGATCCTTTGTGTGCAGAACACGAGGAGCAAGCTGTTCGAGAAGGACGGGATGCGGCTCCCCTCGAAAGCGTTCTCATGTTGGACCAAGCCTGCAGAAGCAACTACGGGAACAGAACTAGTCGGTCGGGCTTGGGTAGCAGGAGTAATAGTTCAGCTTCCTGGAGCAGTTTGGCTTCTTGGGAAGGTGACGATGTGGAGTTTGAATGGGGTGCAAAGGCATTTGATTCGAAGCTTTGCTGGTGAATTGCAGTTATCATCGCTGTCGCTATTGAGCAATGGGAACTTTTTGGCATCGATTGCGTCGCTGGTATTGCGGAAGTCGTAAGTGACTCGTCGTATATGAGTTGTTGGTGAGCTATCGCAGCACTGTAGGATGGCCATGGTACTAGAGTTTGAAATTGCGCACGCAGAATCTGCTTTGCCATGGAGGAAGGGTTATCGAGCTTTGCCTCGTTTTGAGGAGATTGTAAATGGCATTATTAGCAGTGAAATCAAATAGCAAAGAAGATCTATTTTCTCAAAAGACGTATGCACACCATATGGCGTGAAAAGCGAACTAACAACTTGGATGAATGAATGAATCCGCACTTTCCCATCGAATGCTGGTATATAGCATGAGCTGAAGCTGCCCCGAGTAGGAAGCGTTTCATCGACATAAGCCACGTTGATGTCTTGAGCACCTGAACTTCGCATTCATGTATCAAACGAGATAGTCGAACTCGTCGTATACATCGTATTGGGTCTCACTACCCATCTCATGCATCCACTGCATGTGTTCAGCGACCATTTCGTCGAACAAATAATCCGGGAGTGAGTCTTCAAGCCATGCTTGCTGCATTGACGCATCGCAAAGGTACAGGTGCCGATATAGCTCCAGTTCATAGGCCTCGTCTTCATCCTCATCGGGCGCCATGATCCAGCCATCGCCTACTCCGGTCACAGCCAGCTCATCCCTCTCGTCAGTTAGCGCTGTGATCCAGACATCTTCCCTCTCGAAATAGGATCTAGAGTTCTTGCCGTGGCCATAGCGGCGACCTGTCTGGGCATGGCGATAAGGCTGCCTGGCGTATTGTGGGGGAGCTGAGAGAGAGCCACCCAAACGGGTGTGGAAGGAGCGGTGTGCGGCTGTGCTGCTGCGAGTCGCAGGAACGCCTAGCCCATCGATTGCGATTCGTTCCCCTGGAAAATCTGGAACAAACGAAAATGTGGAAATGTGACCCGAAGAGGTCCCGAGATGCTGGTTTGCTGACTCAGTCTCGCTTATCCATAGATCGTATTCGTCGTCGTTGTGGTCAAACTCAATATCAAAGAACTCAAATCGGCAGAGGGGGCATGTTCGCTTGGTTTGCATCCACTCCGCAATGCAAGCGTCACCGAAAACATGCCCACAAGGGAGCTGGAGTGGCACCTCGGCATATTCGCCTCTGGTGGACGTGTAGTAAGGGTCTAAACATATGCAACACCGCTGTGGCTCGTCTGGGCCCACTCTCACCGGTGCATACGCTTGACGTCTTTTTTGGTGTCTGTGGCTGGGCATGTCTGAGTAGGAAGCTGGGGTCCAATAAGGCTGGCTGATTCATGAGGTTTCCACTTGGCGTGAACGCGATCGTCTGGTACCAGCCTAAAGGTACCAGAGGAACAAAGGCGGGGGTGAAGTAAGACCCTAACGCCGGTCATTGTACATGGAGCTTCGCGTTCCATACCAGACAATCTCTAGAGGACGAGTACCATGGTACACTGTGCGGAGCACAACGTGCCGCACTTTCCGATCGAACGTCTCTTAGTCAACCGCGAACAGTG